TTTTTTTTTACCACTAGACGGATTAGTCATATTTTTCCCGCCATTTTCATTCTAAACTGTATTATCATTATATATTTTGACAGCTAGCATTTTAAGACTTATTTGTAAAAAATTTTGTTTGATTTTGTGCAATTGTTTATTTTTTGTGTCCCATCAAATATGAAAGATCAAAAGCAGCATTTTCAGCATATTTTGCTTTTATTACCAAAAAGGTAAGAATGCTGTTCAAGTGAGAAAACAATTCTGTGACATGTATGGAGAAGATGTGTTGTGTTGAGAGAAAGACAGTGCCAAAACTGGTTTACAAAATTTTGTTCTGGCAATTTCGACATTGAAGATGCACCACGTTCTGGATGGCCAGTTGAAACCAATGAAAACAAAATAAAGGTACTGATTGAAGCAAACTGCTGGATAACAACATGTGAAATCACTAAGAGATTAAATTTGTCGAATTGAACTGTTTGTAATTACTTGAAACGAATTGGTTTCGTTTCAAAGCTCAATATAGGGATTCCACATGTTCTTAAAGAGAGATGCTCTGTTTGGTGGGATTTTAAGGAAATTTTTTTGGAGCTTTTACCAGACAATTTAACAATTGATTCAAAAGTGTACTGCCATCAAGTAAACAAATTGAGTAATATCATCAAACAGAAGAGGGACCAGAATTGATCAACAAAACAGGTGTAGTGTTTTACCACGATAATGTCAAATTTCACACAAGTTTGGTAACTCGTCAGAAACTGTTATAACATAGATGGGACGTGCTATCACACCAACCATATTTGCCAGATTGAGCACACTCAGACTAAGATATTTACTTAAAATGACAATGTCACAAATCACTTGGATCAGTTTTTTGTAAGCAATGATCAAAACTTTTATGAATGTGAAATCATGCTACTACCAAAAACGATGACAACAGGTATTTCACCAAAATGGTCAATATATAATTCAATAAAATATTTATTTATTATAAAAGTATTGTATTTTTTTCCACATGAAAAAAAACGAAATTACTTTCTGAACAACCCAATAAATTAGTTTTTATAATTTAAGGAAAAGTATGTGTTATTCTTTGTGCATGATAGCAATATTATTTTTAAATGTGGAAATTGTAAAATGATTAGAATTTTTGAGAAGGATTTATATTAATTTTTTTGTTTCCAAAACTTATTCACTTTATATGACCACATTCTTTAAATTCATAATTAAATTAACAAAGTATATTCTGCTTATTGTAATCATGAATATTATTATCATTCATTTAATGTTATCAGTATCTCAAAACATGTGTATTAAAATACACATATAAATTTTCCTTATTATAATCAGATTCTTGGTTATAGTTATTATTAACTTTAGATAAATAGTTTAAAAATACCTATCAGCTTCATGATATGGTTGATAATTTGCAGTCATTTTATGATGATTGAACATTAACAATGATTTAAACATTAAATATCAATCACTTTAATTGTTATTTCCTTGCAGTACAGTACTTTAAATTTGTGGCATTTTTACTTCAGTTATACTCTGGATGAACATTTATTAATTACTATTAATACTATAAGTCTACTATTAATTCTACTAATACTTAATTACTGTACTATTAATTAATAATAATTATAATTAACAAATCTTCAAGTTATAGACTTTTTAAAATTGTTTAAAAGGATATTAAATATGTGCCTTTAATGTAAGCATCAATAAAATTAGAATTTTTCCTTATTATAATCTTATATACTGATAACATTAAGTGGATAAGTAAATAAGAACAAACTGATTACAATAAGTATCTCCTCATTACTGAAATATATCCTTAAATCATCATCAAAATCTTTCAATAATTCTTTATTTTTCAGTTATACTTGCTACTTGTATTGTCTGTCACAATGCTCATTATTCTCTCTTTGTATACATTTTATTCTTTGAGAACTTCATGCACATGCTGTTTAATTAAATCACTTAAATGCTGATCAAACATGTCTCTAACAGCTGAAGTACAGGTTACGATCCATACTTTAACATCAACAAATTGAGTATTTATTGCAAAATAATTTATTCTTGATGTGTGCAAGCATTTAATTTAAAAATAAAATAAATTATTTATGAAGATATTTGAGTAAATGTTTTTGCTTCTTTGCTTTTTGGAATACAGTAAGTTCTCTTACTGTACTTATATTATTTCTTTTAAAGAGGGGCTTTAAGTTTGGGAGCCATTTCTTCCAACTTATATTTTTTATACCCATTCAGTTATTGTGTTACTCTGTATTCCTATATTGTAAAAATTAATAAACTCTATTATGAAAATTTTATGTGTATTTTTAAATCCATCCTATGCCATAAGCTGAGTTTTATATATCCATAACTATTAGCATTACAGTTTTTATGTAGATGATGTTATAAAAATTAGCCTAATTAACTACAATGAATAAGTTTTGAATGAAATTTTTGTATGCTTTCAGCATAGAATGGCAATATTTTCAATTTTATTATTATTAATTTTTCCAGTTTAATATTTAGTTCAAAATTTTATCAACTGTTAATTTTATTGATATAATATACTAAACTGATATCTTAAGTTTTTAATTTATTTACAGTAATTATTATATATTTCTCAAATATAAAATAAATTTACATATATCATTTTATCCCTTAAAGCTCTCCTTTATCATATGGACCATTAGAAACAAATAAATATAAGCTTCTTCTTAGATTCTCCTTAGATAATTTGGACATCACGAAAAGTAAGTTTTGTTTTCATTTAGAAGTATTATAGAATATTTAATTTTTACATAAGATTGTTTTAATTTATAATCAAGGATAGAATAATATAGTTTATGTTTAATATTTATTTACATATATAATTTATATTTTTACATCTTCAATTTCTGAATTTAATTTGGAATCTTTCCAAAAAACTATATTGAAATTGAATTAAATAAGATTATTTTATTGGAAAAATTATAATATCTAATATGCATTTTAAAATTACACCTTAACCTTAACATTTTATAGTTATGAAAAAACAATAAAAGATACATTAATCACAATTATTAGTTATTAGATTATGTAAAAATAAAAATAATTCTAAGTTTCCAAATCAGTTTGACATGTAATCCACAATGGGACATAACCTATACATCCTTTCAATTTAAATATTCATTTAAATTACAATTTTAAGCTTACCCAACAGTTCTTATTTTGTCTAAACCTACCAAGAACATTTTTTAAAAAATCATAAAATACCCCTTTATGAACCATACACATTCATCTGTTATCTTGATTCTCTGGAAATTACCAATGTATACATATGCCTTCCATTTTCTATAAGTAAATCCACATTTCTGCTAATTTTTTCCTTTTTTCATAATGACTTTCAAAAAACTATTTACAAGCTAACCATCAATTTTAGCATGTAATAGTCCTTTACAGTGAAGAAGAGCTCAGCAATTATCTCTCATATCTATGTTGCTGGATATTATGTGCAATTAAGAGCATACATGAGGATATTATATGCAACTAAGGAAGTTGCACATAATATCCTCATGTATGCTCTGTAATATCCAGCTTAGTGCAATGATGACTTTTAATGGCAATTACTTTCTTTACCACTTATTTATTCTATATTGTAACATCTATTTAGGGATTATATTGTATAGGGATCTATATTGTAACATCTATTTAGGGATTATTTGTTCTCTTACAGAATTTTTGCAGTTCAAATATATACTGTTCATTTTAAATTAATGACATCTAGACTGTTAACACCAATTAACAATACTGTCATAAAGATCTTATTTATTTTTTTTATTTGTTATTATAGCTTCTTATATTTTATTCTTATATAGCTATGAATTTGGCTATTAGTTTTGGACTTATCACACCACTCTTTTTAGGAAATTTGACTTCAGCTTTTTTCTTTTTTAATAAATCCATCCCAACTCCAATATGTACGTACATATTGGGGTTGGAATTCACTAAAGTTTTGTATTTTGTGATTAATAAATCTAATTTTATCAATACTTTTGATGTCAAATCTTTAAAATAAATATTTTCTCTGAAAAAATTATTTTATTTTTGTTAATAATAAAATAATAATGATTTTTATTAATATATAGGTTCAGATGGTAATGTAAAAAGAATTTTAAAAGATATTGAGAATTTAGAAGGAGATGTTTCATTGCTAAATCAGATTGGAGAAATGGTGTCTAATCTTAACTGTCAGCATCAAGTAAGTATAAAATATGTTGTTTATATTAAAAAATTATTCTAAAAAAATCCTTAAAATCAAATTAAATTTTTATTATTATTTAAGTAACAAATAGATATATTTAAATTTACTGATACAATAGGAGAAACTATGTAATGATTATCTTCCAAACAGTTATTTCATGTAATTATAATTCTGCTAAACTGATTTTTAGTATGTTTTATGGTAGCAATACTAATATGTTATTAAACCATTGTAGTGATGTAATATTTGTATAGGAGGTGAACTAAATATCCAGAATTCGAAAATGAATTTATTCTGGAACCTGTAGAGTTATAAAATGAGCAATGCAGGTAAAATAAATTAAAAGAAAATATATTTGAGCAGACAGTTTAACAAAATTGAATTTACTCCAATTCAAGGTCTGCTCTGTCAATTGGTGGAGCTTGTTCTGAATTTTCTTCAAAGTTCTGCAGTGGAATTGGCTTCCCACCAGTGGCATAGCTTGGGTGTCAGCCACCCAGGACGGAGGAAAATTTTGCTGCCTCCTTATTTAGGTATCTCAATTTAAAAGACTAAAATTCAGTTTCGTCACAGAATACGTAATGAAAAATTCCGTGCTCATTTCAATCGGTCCGAATCATAGGTGTGACAAAAATATGAAATGAAATGGTTCAAATTTTTACAAGATATTATTATTATTTATTGTGAAATTTTGCTGCCCCCTAAAAGTGCCGCCCAGGGCAGGCCGCCCCTGCCGCCCCCACTATGCTACGCCACTGCTTCCCACCCTTTGTCATATACTTTCTGGGCTTTGTCATATGTTTAATTAAGACTGTTCTATTGGTTTCACTTGGGGTATATTAGATGCATTGTTTTCATGAGGAATATACAATATCTCAAGTTGGTCAAAGGCAACAATTGTGCCTTGAACATAGTGGGATTTTACCATACCTAACCAAAACATGTAATCTATATTTGGATGGTGCTTCTTCAAGGATGACACTAGTCTACTGCAGTTTGTTTTTGGGCCAGATCTCTTTTGTTCAGTCATCCTCCTTGTTTCATTTTCTAACTGTTTCACAGTGCATTTGGATGTAGAAATCCTATTCTTAATAACAATATTTCTTTCTTTTATCCCAGGCTTTATTCCAAGCATATGAGCATCTTACTATGAAAACCTGAAACCTTTTTCTTTCAAATACACATAAGCATCTGCACAAGTATGCACATATTTTGAACTTTTGATCCAGTTTATGAAAAGACTGGCCCTCCATACCAACAGTAGCGTCGGTTTGCAGCTTATGCTTTGCTTCATAATTTTAACCCTTTTTTTCTTCCATTTCCTTGAACTCTAGATAATATTTTCTTTTCTTCTCCTTTCTTAATTACAACTTATATCATGCTTTCTGGAATGCCCATAAATTTAAAATGTTTCACAGTGAAAAGTTTACCTTTATCAAATCTCTACAATAAAAATTTCCAATGATTTTTCTATTTTTATCTTCTTCTAGGCCTTCCATTTCTAAAAGTCAAATGATATTCAAAATAAAACTGTTCAGAATTGAATAAGCATCTCAAGTACAACAGAAAATCTGTGTTCAATTTCTTCTTGCAAGCACATACAATACGTAAAAGAAAATGGAGGAAGTTATTCCAGATTTTTAGTTTATGTAGTTTACATGCTTATAGTTACTTGCTTATGTTATTCATATAGATTTTCAGAAAAATTAAAAATTTCTTAGATTATTTTTTATTAGAAAATTATTAAAAGTACAAGAATTAGTTGTATAATAAGTATATAATATATGTTAAATTAATAATTTATATACAGATATACCTCGACTTACGTCGTTTCGAGTTACGTCGTTCCCGATTATACGTCGTTTGTCAAAAAAGTAATATGGAAAAATAAAAATCAAGTTTAAGTCATTTTATTTGACTTTACGTCTGTACATCACAAATATTGAAGTCGTAATATCACTAGAAAAACGTTTAAAGCACACAAAATCATATTAAAATATATACTAGTATGTTCTGTATTTACAGTACATGCATTCGTAAATTTAGAATACTTTTTTCTGTACTATATTAAAAACTAAAATTTATTTGTTTGTAAGCTTAAAATAGATTTTTATTAACCATATATTATTAAAAATGCATTAATAAATAAAATACAGAACCGGGAATGGTAATTTATGGTTTAG